ATACAAAGGGATATGTTAAATTCCTTGTCACCATAGCAACAAAGATGACAATAATAATAATAATAATAATAATAATAATAATAATAATAATAATCAAAGTAGTAATATTCATTTTGATAATTAAGTAAAGAACACGATAGAATATAAAGAATTTTATTGAAAATAAAAATAGGGATCAATTATTGATCAGTCATTCTCACTCAATGAATTCAGTTATGATTGGCTTAACAGTTCCATTGAATATAATCATAAATTGAAATTGGGATGTTTCATATAAAGACGAATCATAATAGTAATTTGGACAGCATTTTGTTCGATGGAACTGATGAGGACAACAGAGACGAAAGATGGAAGTGACATAAAACCAGAGAGACAGAGAGAGAGAGAGAGACAAGGGGAAGTATACGTGTGTTTGTGTTCGAAAGTTTGCCTAATGTTTTCACGGACTTCCAAATGTGTGTATAACAAACATACTGCAGATACTGCTGACTACAATATTAGTAGCAGTAGTATATATATATATATATATATATATATATATATATAGAGAGAGAGAGAGAGAGAGAGAGAGAGAAGTAGAATTATACCTCCCAGGCTATTATTATTATTCTATAACAGGAACATCATAACAAGAGTCATTAAACGGTTAGTCATAGAAATAATCAAATTGAAATAAATAGAAGAATAATTTAGAAAAAAATTAGTTCCCTACTGAAGAAGAAAAAAGAAAAAAACAAGAAAAGAAAGAAAACCAATAAATCAATGTGTTATTTGATGGATATTGATCACAGATTAATGAATTCTTTCTTTCTTTCTTTCATTATTCTTAGAACAATCATGAAAGTAGTTTAAATGTATAAGAGAGAATTAAAAAAGGAAAAGAAAAGAAAAGAAAAGGGAATGCCTAATTCATTATCAGAATGATATATATATTTAAATACTTTTTTCAGCAATATTTTCATTACTACTAACGATCATCAATATAAGTAGTAAAAATGATAATTGATTGATGAGTAGTATATTGTGAATGTATGTATATAAAAATAACTCCGCCTGGAGTCCCTTTCCGGGGGCTACTGCAGGTCCCAAGGCCGGATAAACGAGGAGGGTTGAGCATGGGGTTAGCGACCCCATCCCGTAGAAAACTAACTCGCTAAAAAAACGCTAACCAGAAAAAATAACTCAAACCATTAAAACCCTGCCTTGGGAGTTAGAAGGTCTTCATTGAGAAGAAATATGACGCCTCAGGGTGAAATCCGAGTTCATTCGGAAGTCACGATGCCGATGCCCCTTCGAACAACCAGAGCAACAATTTTTATAGGTACATGAAACTCAATAAATTCAAGATAACCCTCAGCAATAAGTTCCAAGCCTTTCATGATCTACTCAGTGGAGAAGAAACTACTATGGAGAGCAACTGGAAAGGGATAAAAGAGGCAATCACTTCAACATGTCATGAGGTTCTGGGCCACAAGAAGCACCATCACAAGGAATGGATCACTGTTGATACACTGGATAAGATTCAAGAAAGGAGGAACAAGAAGGCAGCAATCAATACCAGTCGAACAAGAGCAGAAAAAGCCAAGGCACAGGCTGAATACACAGAAGTAAACAAGCAAGTGAAGAAGAGCATCAGAACCGACAGATGTAAATATGTGGTAAATCTAGCAATGACGATGGAAAAAGCTGCAAAAGAAGAAAACATGGGACAATTGTGCGATACAACAAAGAAACTCTCTGGAAATCAACGTAAACCAGAACGACCAGTGAAAAGCAAGGAAGGCAAGATAATCACCAACATTGAAGAACAACGAAACAGGTGGGTAGAACACTTCAAAGAACTCTTGAATCGACCAGCCCCACTGAACCCACCCAACATCGAAGCAACACTCACGGACCTCCCAATTGATGTTGTCCCACCAACAATTGAAGAAATCAGCAAGGCTATCAGACAAATCAAGAGTGGCAAAGCAGCAGGACTAGACAACATTCCAGCAGAGGCACTGAAAGCAGACGTAGTGGTAACTGCAAGGATACTCCACATTCTCTTCAGACGAGGAACAGGTACCAAAAGACTGGAGAGAAGGACTTCTGGTCAAAATACCAAAGAAAGGCAACCTCAGCAAATGTGACAACTACAGGGGAATCACTCTTCTTTCAATACCAGGAAAAGTCTTCAATAGGGTATTGTTAAACAGGATGAAGGACTCCGTAGACGCCCAACTTCGAGACCAACAGGCAAGATTCCGTAAGGATAGATCGTGCACAGACCAAATCGCAGCTCTACGGATCATTGTGGAACAATCAATTGAATGGAATTCATCACTCAATATCAACTTCATTGACTACGAAAAAGCATTTGATAGCGTGGACAGAACAACCCTATGGAAGCTTCTTCGACACTACGGCGTGCCTCAGAAGATAGTCAATATCATAGGGAATTCATATGATGGATTAAACTGCGAAACCGTCCATGGAGGACAGTTGACAAAGTCGTTCGAAGTAAAGACCGGTGTCAGGCAAGGTTGCTTACTCTCACCCTTTTTCTTTCTCCTTGTGATCGACTGGATCATGAAGACGTCAACATCTGATGGGAAGCACGGGATATAGTGAAAAGCTAGGATGCAATTGGATGATCTAGACTTCGCAGATGATCTGGCTCTCCTATCGCAAACGCAACAACAAATTCAGGAGAAGACAACCAGTGTAGAGGCAGCCTCAGCAGCAATAGGTCTCAATATACACAAAGGGAAAAGCAAGATTCTTCGATACAACACAGCATATAGCAATCCAATCACAATTGACGGAGAAGCTTTGGAAGATGTAAAAACCTTTACATATTTGGGCAGCATCATCGATGAACACAGTGGATCTGATGCAGATGTGAAGGCACGGATCAGGAAAGCAAGAGCAGCATATTTACAACTGAACAACATCTGGAACTCAAAACAACTGTCTGTCGACCAACACAAAAGTCAGCATTTTCAATATAAATGTCAAGACAGTTCTACTGTATGGGGAGGAAACCTGGAGAATTACGAAAGTCATCATCCAGAAGATACAGGTGTTTATTAACAGTTGTCTACGCAAAATACTTCGGATCCGCTGGCCGGACACTATTAGCAACAACCTACTGTGGGAGAGAACAAATCAGATGTCAGTGGAGGAATAAATCAGGAAGAAGCGCTGGAAGTGGATAGGACACACATTGAGGAAAGCACCGAACTGAGTCACAAGACAAGTCCTCACATGGAATCCTCAAGATCGAAGGAGAAGAGGAAGACCAAAGAATACATTACGCCGGGAAATGGAGATAGATGTGATGTTATGCAATAATATTGATTATCAATATTAAGTCAATTCAATTATTATGTTGTACTAACCTTTTACACTGTAACATAAAACATAGTCTTGTCGATTATTCAATCAATTATCCGTTGACGGAACACTCTAAATAGAGACATTTAGCGAGACAGAGAGGGAGTGAAAGTGAGAGTGGGAGTGGGAGAAAGAAGAAAAGAAGTAGTTGAATAGACTATCAATTATATTTTGTTAAATGTTAGAATGTAATCATTTAAAAAGTTATATATATATATATAATTTAGTTTAACACATAGATATTGGTACAAGGAGGCATCAAATACATATGCGCCACACAAATTTCATTGGATATATATGTGAGAACTGTAATACTGCACGGGTGCCCAAAGCAAAGCTTCATCTCAACTGAGACATGAACCAAATACTGTTCGTTTCAAGTATTAACATTTTATAATGATTAGAATGAATGAACTATACTTGTAACTGAATTAGGCATGAATATGAAATTTGGTTATTCTTCTATGATATTTACATTATAAGGTCTTTACAAAGTTAGAGGAAGCGGCCAAACTAAAACGTGGCATCAATGCTTAATTTCACTAACTTCTAGTCTAAGTCATGTTGGTAGATGCAAACTAGTTGGTTAGGGTCAGTGCGACTATCGTAACCAATGGTTGGAAACTCTGGGTGACATGACACAAAATCAATCACAATGGCTTGAATTTGTGTATACACTCTCTGTCTTCCCTTAAACTAAGAGAATAAAATCACTTCATATCTTTCTTTCTACGAACTAATTCTTTCTTCCTGTACCATATCCTTATCTGTAATCTTTCTTCTATGTAATACCCCCATTGAAGTAACTACGTCTATGAATGCAGTGTTCAACTTTCTGTGCTAATGCGGTATGGCAACTTGGACTGATGCATATATGTGCTTGGTCCTACGTTGAAGTTGACTGACTGACTGACTGCGTCTTTCTTTCTTCTTAGGACATTATTCACTATACAGTATTAGTTTGTTATATCACTAATCATTATTGATTATGTATCATTTTGAAATATAAACAAAACCTCATTCTTCGGCTTCAGTGAATTCAATTTAATTTGCTCTAATCGAAAACAGTTCGTGGAACAATGAGTGATAGTTAATTAACTAGTAAATTTCACGGTTTACATAATGGATTGATCTAAGTTAGACAATCTCTGAAGATCAGAATACACTAAACATTCATTGTATTATAGTATGGAATACTTCTGACCTACTAAGATTCTGCGCCACATGGATTGGGTTGTGTTATTCATCTTGTAAAGAATCTCAATAGAGTCTGGTTATTCTGAAAACCTCTGACAAGATATACATTCATAATTGCTTATGTGTGAATTGTATGATACTCTTCACAAACGCATATCCATAGACTCAGCAAAGATTTCAAACTATCAGTTTATAGTTTTGAGTGATCTTCTTCAAGAGATTTAATGGTATTAAGCTGAATAATACCCCGTGGGTATAGATCATAACATACATACCATTATGAAATTCACTACCTGATATTTTATGACAATCTTATTTTAATGGTCAGTGTTTATTCTAAGTAATAAACTCACTGATTCATTTGAACATTCATGTTTATCAACTTAACTTAATTCATTTGAATGCATCAATGAATGAATATGTGGTTAATAATTTAGGAAACATTTACCAGTTGATGATAATTGATGTTTTATATTTCTTCTTCGATATGGTTTTATGTCTAAATTTGGTGCTACTATTGTTTCTACTTTTAATGTTCTTGGTGATATAAATTGACATGTTTGTGGTTGATGAGGTTGAGGTGAATGCTGATAATGATGTTGAGCTTGTTGTTGGTGGTGGTGTCGTTGATGATGATGATGATGTGACATATTGACAGGATTATTTGAATGTCTTTGTTTATTATTATTATTATTATTATTATTATCGAATAAATCTTGATATTCATCATAAGATTTAATGGGATAATGATTAGTAGTTGACATGGTAGTTTTATCTAAATTTCTTGGTTTATTCATATTGTATAAAGATGTTTAAAATGAATCACTTAAACGTGAATTTTCCTCCTTTGAAATAAAGAAAATTTTACAAGACAAACAGAATAGAAGAGAAATTATTATGATGCATTGACTGTTTATAACAATCATGAATAGTGATAGAATCTAGAATGCATGTTTCGTCCTACCTGGAACTCATCAGCTTCCATTTATCTGAAGTTTACCACACTGACACTTAACTAAAGTCAATCTAATTAGTTCGTTCAAGAAGTGAATAACATAATAACATTAACACTAGTCATTATCAGTTCGCAGTATCAATAACCAGATATTACTAAGTATGTTACTAATTCATTAAGTATGTTGTATCAAGTACAGACAGATAGAAGAATAGAGTTTCATGCTCTCAGATGGATTCTTAACCTCCACCAAATCATGGAAACGCTATCCAGTGATTAATACGTTCAACTTCAATTAAGTAAGGAGTAAGGAAGTTTTTTATCCATTCGACCGGATAACTATACTTTTCCTTATTTCAATCTCTCAGGATTACTTATTATGAATATTACTATTATGATTATTATCAGTCAAGTGTATATCATAGTTTAAACAAATATTCAGATATAAAATATGATGGATATTTTCAAGCGCCCAAATGCCCTGGTAAGGCCGAGAGCAAGGTGGGTTCGCCCTCCATCTCGAAATACTCTCACACGGCCACGCGTATACAGCCTCTGCCAGGGAAGTCCTACTCACTGACTTCTCGTGGCAGAAGTGTTGTTCACTCTGCGACTCGAACACAGTATCATACGCGATGGTGTTAAAAGCGACCGGCACTGAATTACGAGTCCCGATAGCCACTAGATTTTGCAATGGGATGAACTTTCGATTCATTTTTGTATTGATTGTCCAAGTCTTCCTATCGATGTCCGAGTCCTGGGGTGAACATCATCTCGGATGCAGGTTCATCCAGCTGACCAGTCAGAAATAGGACAAAACACGCATCCTGGATTTTACTGCTTATCACCATCTATCTCTGTTTAGAATGTTTGTAAGTTATGGCAATATCGAAGCAGTCTGTACACGATGCACACATGCCAATAAGAGACTGATCAATTACAGTCCTAAATAACAATGAGAAGAAACAAGCAAACAATACCAAGTGTTTGGCATTCAACAGTCAGAGTGTCTCATTCACTCACTCACTCACTCACTAGAACATCAGAAACATCTTGTAGGAAGCAATTTCCTACCTACATGTTTAATTCTCAACTATTCCCTAGACTGTCAAACACCGAGTATTGGTTTAGCCAATGTCAGAACAAGTATAAGCTATTTGGCTTGATAAGTAAACTTTATCTCTTTCTAAAACATAAATTAACACCGTTCTTATACAAAAAAACAGTACACAGTCTATTAACAACAAAAGGGAAAAACAGAAGCATAAATAACATACCGAACAGTAGCCAGTGAATAGAAAAAATGAGTCAATAATGCAAATATTGTTTTATAATAAACATCAAATTGTGATTGGTTAATAAACGAGATACAGTAGTAGTTGTGTACAAGGTCAAAGGAAGTGAATGTGGTGGTAGTGGTGATGGTGGATTCGTTTATCGATCACATTTTTGACACATCTTGAATTCTTCTATCAATAGTTAGCTCATGTTGTTATAAATTAATTGAATAATCATTATGAAGATGGTTCTCATTTACAGATTCTTTCATTCACAATTCATGATGAATACAACTGATCAATGAAGCTGATCTCCCTCCACAAGATCGTCGTCTTCAGCAGTTAACAGGAAACTATAATAAGGAATTAATGGAGATTCCTTATAACAAAAAATAAAAAAAAGAAACGTTGTAATTTGAGAGAATACAATACTTACCTATCCAATAGATGACGAAATTCAATTTGCTGTTAGAAACAATGAAATATAAGAAATGAGAAATAAATGAAGAAGAGGGTGATTTGAATGTAGCTGTGAATTGTGACTAATTTACTTTATTTTATGATGTATATTACACAACTAATTGAGTCATAACATTTAAAGCACTTTCATAGTTAGATCATGAACTGATCTACACTAGACTACCAAGATGAATTGAATGACTGTTTCGTGCTAGCATTGTACTCCTCAGTAGTGAGGACCCATACCGCTGTTGAACATTGTCCTTTTGACCTCCAGGATCAAGTTGATATTAGGATGATAAGACGAACAGAATTATTTCAGTTTCTTTTTCAAGTCTTAATAGAAGAAATACTTTACCATAGCTTGAGAATCCTTGAATTATCAACAGCTTGATTACTTTTGAATTCACTACTACTACTACTACTACTACTACTACTACTACTACTACTACTACTACTACTACTACTACTACTACTACTACTACTACTACTACTACTACTACTACTACTACTACTACTACTACTACTACTACTACTACTACTACTACTACTACTACTACTACTACTACTACTACTACTACTACTACTACTACTACTACTACTACTACTACTACTACTACTACTACTACTACTACTACTACTACTACTACTACTACTACTACTACTACTACTACTACTACTACTACTACTACTACTACTACTACTACTACTACTACTACTACTACTACTACTACTACTACTACTACTACTACTACTACTACTACTACTACTACTACTACTACTACTACTACTACTACTACTACTACTACTACTACTACTACTACTACTACTACTACTACTACTACTACTACTACTACTACTACTACTACTACTACTACTACTACTACTACTACTACTACTACTACTACTACTACTACTACTACTACTACTACTACTACTACTACTACTACTACTACTACTACTACTACTACTACTACTACTACTACTACTACTACTACTACTACTACTACTACTACTACTACTACTACTACTACTACTACTACTACTACTACTACTACTACTACTACTACTACTACTACTACTACTACTACTCCTACTACTACTACTACTACTACTACTACTACTACTACTACTACTACTACTACTACTACTACTACTACTACTACTACTACTACTACTACTACTACTACTACTACTACTACTACTACTACTACTACTACTACTACTACTACTACTACTACTTCTACTACTACTACTACTACTACTACTACTACTACTACTACTACTACTACTACTACTACTACTACTACTACTACTACTACTACTACTACTACTACTACTACTACTACTACTACTACTACTACTACTACTACTACTACTACTACTACTACTACTACTACTACTACTACTACTACTACTACTACTACTACTACTACTACTACTACTACTACTACTACTACTACTACTACTACTACTACTACTACTACTACTACTACTACTACTACTACTACTACTACTACTACTACTACTACTACTACTACTACTACTACTACTACTACTACTACTACTACTACTACTACTACTACTACTACTACTACTACTACTACTACTACTACTACTACTACTACTACTACTACTACTACTACTACTACTACTACTACTACTACTACTACTACTACTACTACTACTACTACTACTACTACTACTACTACTACTACTACTACTACTACTACTACTACTACTACTACTACTACTACTACTACTACTACTACTACTACTACTACTACTACTACTACTACTACTACTACTACTACTACTACTACTACTACTACTACTACTACTACTACTACTACTACTACTACTACTACTACTACTACTACTACTACTACTACTACTACTACTACTACTACTACTACTACTACTACTACTACTACTACTACTACTACTACTACTACTACTACTACTACTACTACTACTACTACTACTACTACTACTACTACTACTACTACTACTACTACTACTACTACTACTACTACTACTACTACTACTACTACTACTACTACTACTACTACTACTACTACTACTACTACTACTACTACTACTACTACTACTACTACTACTACTACTACTACTACTACTACTACTACTACTACTACTACTACTACTACTACTACTACTACTACTACTACTACTACTACTACTACTACTACTACTACTACTACTACTACTACTACTACTACTACTACTACTACTACTACTACTACTACTACTACTACTACTACTACTACTACTACTACTACTACTACTACTACTACTACTACTACTACTACTACTACTACTACTACTACTACTACTACTACTACTACTACTACTACTACTACTACTACTACTACTACTACTACTACTACTACTACTACTACTACTACTACTACTACTACTACTACTACTACTACTACTACTACTACTACTACTACTACTACTACTACTACTACTACTACTACTACTACTACTACTACTACTTACTACTACTACTACTACTACTACTACTACTACTACTACTACTACTACTACTACTACTACTACTACTACTACTACTACTACTACTACTACTACTACTACTACTACTACTACTACTACTACTACTACTACTACTACTACTACTACTACTACTACTACTACTACTACTACTACTACTACTACTACTACTACTACTACTACTACTACTACTACTACTACTACTACTACTACTACTACTACTACTACTACTACTACTACTACTACTACTACTACTACTACTACTACTACTACTACTACTACTACTACTACTACTACTACTACTACTACTACTACTACTACTACTACTACTACTACTACTACTACTACTACTACTACTACTACTACTACTACTACTACTACTACTACTACTACTACTACTACTACTACTACTACTACTACTACTACTACTACTACTACTACTACTACTACTACTACTACTACTACTACTACTACTACTACTACTACTACTACTACTACTACTACTACTACTACTACTACTACTACTACTACTACTACTACTACTACTACTACTACTACTACTACTACTACTACTACTACTACTACTACTACTCCTACTACTACTACTACTACTACTACTACTACTACTACTACTACTACTACTACTACTACTACTACTACTACTACTACTACTACTACTACTACTACTACTACTACTACTACTACTACTACTACTACTACTACTACTACTACTACTACTACTACTACTACTACTACTACTACTACTACTACTACTACTACTACTACTACTACTACTACTACTACTACTACTACTACTACTACTACTACTACTACTACTACTACTACTACTACTACTACTACTACTACTACTACTGCTACTACTACTACTACTACTACTACTACTACTACTACTACTACTACTACCTTTTAACATAGCTCTGACCTTCTTCATTCATTCATTCATTCACAAACACAGTTTAATACTTGTCTTACAATCACTTCCTGAAATTAATTTCTATTAAATGATCCATACACTTACAAGTCTAGACAACATATTCCATTGTGATCTAAGCTGTTGTACTTCATTCATTAAATCAACTGTTGGTGGTAATTTAGCTGTTGAACGTCCACTCCACATTGTATTTACATTTCTATCAGGATAATTATTTGACTGTATTGATTGTGATGAATTCGTTTGATTATAATAACCTCTGGAACCAGAATTCAAATTTGGTAAAGCTGATCTAATATTGATTGGTGCTGTTGATATTGATTCTTCTCTACGAATATTTTTCGAAGAAAAAAAACAAACAAAGAAGGTCACAGTTTATAACATTCAATAATCTTAATTAGACTATTTTCATTAAGCAGGAGGCAATGCATAATTGCTACTCTTGATTAATGCATAACCATGGCACAACTAGGGGTCGAACCCAGGATATTCAGGTCTGGTGGCACCACTAAATTATCATTCACTAATCTAAATTTATAGATTCAATCTATTCGCGGTATTGAGCAGCCACTTTCACAACTTATTCCCAGATAAGTATGTCACTCATGTTCATCATGTTCTCAATTTATGACAGTATCTTTTTGTTAAGAGTTTGTAACTTCCCTTTTAGGTTTCATTGAGTTATAATTGGTTGAATTAGGAATTGTTAGGAATAGAATAATTGTAGAGATTGTGACTAGTTGGTCATCGAAATACATCATGAATTCATGGAATTCAGAATTCTATCAATTAGATGTTGACTGAATAGTTTTAATGGTGAAATGTTCATCATGGAACCTGACGGTTTTGAATTCCAATTATTGAATACACACGAATTGAGAGAAGTTCTTTATTTGGAAAAAACAGTTTTCCATTTCTGTTTATCTTTTAATCATTCTCCAACTAAAAATCAATATTATAAAAATGTAATTTACAAATAAGACCTATGAAAAAAAAACAATTACCTTTTAGGTAGTTGAAATTCTACAGGTGACTAATGCTTCATTGTAAAGATGGTCATTCCGATTATTTTGTTCGTGTGTTTATACAAATGTCGAATTTTTAAGAGTATGTCTGATTTCTTAAAGTGTTTCACTTGTTCACTATCATACTTAAGTAATGATGTATTCTCACTCACTCACTCACTCACTCACTCACTCACTCACTCACTCACTCACTCACTCACTCACTCACTCACTCACTCACTCACTCACTCACTCACTCACTCACTCACTCACTCACTCACTCACTCACTCACTCACTCACTCACTCACTCACTCACTCACTCACTCACTCACTCACTCACTCACTCACTCACTCACTCACTCACTCACTCACTCACTCACTCACTCACTCACTCACTCACTCACTCACTCACTCACTCACTCACTCACTCACTCACTCACTCACTCACTCACTCACTCACTCACTCACTCACTCACTCACTCACTCACTCACTCACTCACTCACTCACTCACTCACTCTGGAAGTGGCTCTCCAAGTAAACCACCCTTACTTCGGTATAAGCACCCGAGCAGTATCTCAGCCCTCACATAAACCGAATGATTTATATGGAGGATATCTATTTGGTGCCTCGTTGTACCAATGTTTATGTGTTTAAATAATGATGATAATAATAATAAATAATTCAACAATAGAACATGAATAATTCCATATATTACACTGGATTAAATATAAACCCTTGGCATTTAACACCATTTATATGATTCATCTTTCAATGATTGAAAATGTTCACATAAATTATGTGTAGTATGTATATGTATATGTATATAGATATATGCAAAAATGCATAAAGGATTTAAGAGAAAGAGAACACCTCCGATTTCGATTGACTTATTATTTGAATCCATCAATATTGTATTGTCTAGGCATAAACACTGATCAAGTTCCGTTGATCGAATTACAGACAATACTATTATTGTTATTATTGATTCATTTACCAAGTGTAAGTTTGTGTCATTGCCTTCACGCTAGACATTAAATATGCAGTCATAGAAATATTGCACGCATATGCTGGGATCATTGGGTGAGAAGTAGTGAGGCTAGATGCATAGTAATAGGGAATGATGGTAATTTTGTAAACTATATCAATCATTCTGCTCAGTTTAATATTCATCTCACATTAGTATTATATTCTTTGTTACGAGATAATCTGTAGTGTGTCTAACAAACAGCTTTCAATTTTATAGTCAAGTTGTAAATTGTAGTGTCGACTACTGCTATGTCAACACCACATAGCTTATTCCGGTTTCCGGATAAGCCAGTTTGTTCATCATTCTTCTTGAGTCATATTTTGACCTTGTCAATCATTCGCTTATCAACTTTCACTGTACTCATGTAAACGTATGTGTATACACTTTTCATTCTATTCATCACTTGTCTGTAACTTATTTGTATATGTATTCAAGCTTCCATTCTCATATTTGATTTATTTAATTCCGTTATTCACTAATGCGAGTTCAGTCAATGATTATACACAAGGATTGGTGACGCGTATACTTCAATAGCAATCAGATCTGACCTAATCGGAGTCAGAATAATAGCCATTAAAAAGTATATATTTCTCGCATCTGCTGGTATCACCAGGTAAGTAATAGTGAGGTTAGACGCAAGATAATAAGGAATGATGGCAAATTAGTGGATGAGGTTGTGGATATTCATCGTTTGAGATGGTTAGGCCACATGTTACGTATGCCTGAACACCGATTACCACGACGTGCAATGATAATTGATGTTGGGAATGGTTGGAAGTCACTAACATCTATTCTGAGACACGATGGTAGATTCAGAATCTATAGTTGGCATGCGCGTGACTGCCGCAATCAATGGTTGGAGACTTTTGGTGACATGGCTCAGAATCGATCAATCACAATGGCGTAGGTCTATACATTCTTTATCTCTCCTTCAGCTTTGAGATTAAAATGGATTTATACCTTTCTTTCATCTTGTTGAGTTGTTAATGAGGTATGGCAACTTGGACCGATGCATATAAGTGCCTAGTTCTAAGTTGTAGCTGATTGACTGATTGAAATGTGCAGTCTAGTGATAATGAACATGTTGCCTTAAATCAAAATAGGTATAGAAAAAGTTCAGTATAATAACTTCTTTAAGTGACTTAATATTCGATGTTGGATAGTTGAAGGGTGTCAAACGAAAGTATTGCTTACTTTAATATTCATACTAACTGGTAACAGTTTTCAAATAGTCTTTGTAACTGTAAGGGAACCAATACATCATCTATGTATTTAGTAATGAGTATGTTGCCTAATACAATGATCAGAGATGTTATCACTGAACTGATTGATATTCATATGAATTCATTCCAAATATTGATCACTTCCGTACAGGGTTGTGGAGATTATTAGGTTTTTAATTGTGATCATGAATCGATTGATGTTAGACCACCATTGAAAACCTGGAAGCACTGGACAACCGTTTCACCCTATTGTGGGACTCCTCAGTGGTAGTGCGCATCGACGATCCCACTAGAGGGATTCGAACACCATAATGATGATTACCATGTACTTACTAGTGAATAGTTTCGTGAGGGGATTCTCGAGCTTCTAATGAGAAACCGTGACCAGTGGAGCTAATCTGCGTCGAGTAGAGACAGGTATTTAATTACTTCAGTACAATGGAAGATGGTCGCGCAATTTTGCTGATAGGTTGAGGTTGGACATTAACACTGTTGGGTGCTGGCCGGCTCAGTGGTCTAGAGGTTAAGCGGTCGCGCGCGAGACTGAGAGTCCTAGGTTCGAATCCGGCGGGCCAGATGGTAGAGGAGTCTTACAATAAAACGAAATGACAGTCCAATGTTTCCAGGTTTTCAATGGTGATCTAAAATCAATCGGTTTATGATCTCAATGAAAAATGATTACTTCATTGTCAAATCACTTAAATATAGAGATGCTTTCTACTTTGTTCATTATAAGTAATCTTAAAGATATCATTTAGATGCAAATTGTTGTTGTCAGTTTTACCACTCACAACGGATAGAGATATTTATTGTTACAAGTAAAAAGAAATTTAATCAGACATTTGAACTAGGTCAAGTGGATAGTCGTTACAATGTGTGGTGAATAATTCTGAAATTGATTTAATTTTTGCACTACTAACAATAAATCAGTAGTAAATATGAATAAACAAAAGGGTTTGCACCAAAGAAACCAAGTCAAGTGGTCATCTCGTAAACTTGTTGTCTAGTGATTTATCATTAGCCCACAATATCATCAAGTAATTTGAATAATAAGCCTTTATTGTCGTTCTAGGTAAAAGTATCAACTAATAATCTTTGTAGAGCTAAGCTTCTCAATCATTCCATAAACTTAAAATAAGCTTCTTCTAATGGCTTTATTTGTCATTAGATGTCTTTGCAAGTTCTATTGTTTTTTCACAAGTGAATTTATCTGTTTCTCTGTTACATCAGCTGTCCATCAGATTTTTGGAAAGATGGTTTGTTGATCGTTCTCTTATGGTTCGATGATTTAGCTTATATCGACATGTCGGCTGATTACCAATCGACTTGGATGAAATGATTATAGATTATGTACTTGAACATGTATGTGAAACGAGTGTTCACTTTCTAGATGGTGTTGCACTCTTATTTTTGATTATCTGATCAATAAATGTGACTCTATATTTTTTGGACACGTAGCCTGGCCGAGAATTAACCATGTTCCAATATAGTCTGACGTAAATAAACATAAGCATTGAATCTAATACACTAATTAAAATAGGCCATATGATGAGGTACAGTCTTATGTATGACTATGTATCATCTGAGTAATACTTTTGAAACATAATGACATTAAAACATAGGCGTTAGCTTAGTTTCAGTTGGTTAAACATCGGTTGAGCTACCCGGCTGTTGGTGTTTTCAGTATGACACACCGGATTTTATAACTTAGAAGTACTTGAAGTATTA